AGGTGTCCATGCCTATGGCAGGGGGCTGGAACTGGATGAGCTTTAAGGTCCCTTCCAACCTAAACCAGTCTGGGATTCTATGATATTCTAAATTAATACTGTCGGTAGTATAGTGTATTTATAATATTAGAACAAAGTTTCATGCAGTTAAGGGAGAACAATTCAGAAACAGCCTCACAATATAGGAACTAGAATGACTAAGAAACGCCATGCGTTTCAGGATGGAGCTTCGTTTACCTTTTTAAGAGGATTATAGGAAATTGATCCTTTGAGTTCCTCACAAGGCTTTTCCCAGCCTGGCATTCTCAAATCCAAGGAGCCTGGGATGTGGGGCTGGTTGTGTCAAGCACATACTGTGGAAGGTGCTTTGATTTACGTCCCATTGTTACTGTGGCAGCAGTGGACAGGAGGAGTGCAGGAATGAGCTGTGCTCTCTCCCTCTGTCGAAGCAGTTTAGCTTTTCCACTGGTTATCTATGCTCCTCAAGAACCTGAGTCTTTGTACACTATTAGTAAACAAAATGATGGTAAATAAATTGAAATGCAACTTCCGCAGTTTCCACTGTGGAAAACAGCAGCTCTAGCGGGGTGTATATAAAATAAAGTGCAATAATCTGGCGTGTACTTCTTGCTGTTACTATGTAGCTTTGTATTGAAAGGTTTATAAAACTAAGGTGTCAGTGTTTTGTCTTTCTCTCCCCTCATTGACACAGTGTTTCTTCTGGGCTTTTAAAGAAGTCATACAACTCCCTTAGAATAAACGAACAGTCCCCAGCTTCAGTCAGGATGCGTTCTTAAACCACACAGAGGGATTTTTTTAATGGATGGTTTTGTATTTTCTCTTCTGATCCAAAATCCTTTCTAAACCTCCCAATGGTTTCATTGGCATGGGAAGGTAATGTATGCGCTGTGCCTCTGCAGTATGTATTTAACATAAAAGAGAATTAACCCTTGAATTTCAACCTTCACATGAAAAAATTTACTTTTCCTATATCATATAGGGCCATAGAATGGTTTGGGTTGGAAGGGATCTTAACGCTTACCTGGTTCCAGCCCCCTGCCATGGGCAGGGACACCTTCCACTAGAGCAGGTTGCTCCAAGCCCCATCCAGCCAGGCCTTGAACACTGCCAGGGATGGATTCCAGGGATACCCTCATAGATTGACTTGACTTTCAAAAGAAGATTCCTTGGAATCAGAGAGGAATCTGACAGCACATTTGCACATCAGTTTGCAGTAACTTTTTACACTCAGACTTTATTGCCTTCTGTAATTTTGTTGTGGTTTCTTTAGTAAACAGAAATAATCCCACACTTCTCTGTCTTAAGTGCCTCTTGTACTGCATTGTTAATGGGCCTGTTAGTATTGTTAAAGTATTAACAGAATAATTGCTGTGTTCTAACTGTATTGAGTCTAAAAAAGCATTCTCATAGAATATTAATGAGAGCCTTTTTACATGTATGAATTATTGTTCTTAGGACGGAAAATTAAACTATGAAGAAAAGAAAGTACCATTCTGGAGGAACATAATAGTAAAAATCAATAAGCCTTCGATTTAGTTTCTAACTCCATTGCTCCTCCTCTCTTCACCCCATTTATGCTTCCTGTGTGTATCTCAGGAACCTGCCCTGGTACCTGGGCAGGACAGAGGGGCTGGGTGCCAAGTGGCAGTTTTAACAATGAACGTTCTTTTTCTGTTTGTCTCAGCCTTAAATTAACCTTATTTAGTCTTAAAAGCTGTGACCATGGAGCTAATATTTTATGCAGCATTGAGAGGAACTGGAAGCGCTTTTCATTGCTATGCAAAATGCAGCTGGGGAATGGTGCAGAATTAACAAGACGGAGCTGTGCTGTTGGGAGCGCGGGCAGTGGTTTATTTTCATTTCTGTCATTAAATATCTTATTACCAGCTCTTTGTTTTTTCTTTCCTCTCTCCTGCAGTGCTAAAAAGGGTGATTACTACGTGGTGGGAATTGTACAACTGCTGGAAACTACCTTAAATAAGTGACCTTCGGGTGACCTCTGCAACTGCCGGTGTTTTTTCAGGGCTAAGTTAGTACCTCTGCGATCCTCTTTCTTCCATCACATCTTATTCCATGTTGATACCGAGTGGCTGCCTTGCAAGTGAGATCCAAATATAGGAATATTAAGGCAAACAGTCTCTTGTAAATATAAAGGCATCGGTGCATAGTAAAGCTGCAGAAGTGATTCCTGGGACTGGCTTGAGCATTAAAACTTTGCAGTGTCTGAAGTGTACTATAATTTCCCGACTGTTTTTGGTAGCAGTTATTTCTAAATAGGCAAATGAGCCGCCGTTGCAGTTCTTGGCTTTTTGCAGACCCGTTGATCTGAATGAGAAACACGGCGCAAGCTTTGGTTTGTGAGATTTCAAATGAGCTTCAGTTTATAGTCTAAAACGTGTAATTTCTTTTCGCGTCTCATGCGGCAGCTCCTTGTCATCCTTTACTCTCCCCCGTCCGACATCAGTTCTCCCTTGTCCATTTAAAACAAACTTGAAAAACTGCAGCTTTATACTTTATATTATTCTTCTACCCCGGAGCTGTTTTTAGTGTCTTTATTGCAAGTAGACAGATGGTGATATTTGGTTTCCTGTCAGTTTTAATGAATATAGATAGGAGTGATAAGAACATTTGCTTCGTTTAGCAAACTTCCTTTTCTGGCTTTTAATTAATGAAGTGCTCATTGGTGTGCCGCTGCTTTTGTACAGTTCAATCTTTTATACAATTCAACTTGTGTCGGAGAATAAAATAGAGGATGCAGATAACTTCTCTCGGTATCCTTTAAAGTTTGCTTACACAGATAGTGCAGACATCAGAAATGTAGCGTGCTTATATGAGCTGTCACAACAGCACTTGGTGTTTTGGTGATACTTCCCTTTCATGAAAAGAACCCAAAGGAAGTGGCCTGTGTTTGGTGTTCACCTTGGGTAAGGTTCAGCTCGGCTTTGGAGCACGTTGCTTCTAACGCAGCTGCTTAAATAGATTAAGGTCTACAGCAAAATAATTGATGAAATAGAAAAGAATTCCTTGGCTTATCAAGCTGCTTTTTTCTTTCGCTGCATTTTGTCCTGCTTTGGAGAGAACTGGAACATTAATCCTGATATTGATTTTCTTTGCAAATAGTTTGATTTCTGTGTTAGCTTAGCGCAGACATCATTTTAGATTCTTGTAAACTGGTTTAGAGTCCATTGTTCTTAAGATCTTTCTCCAATGTTTAACACTAAGATTTTTTGCCTTTCTTTTTGTGTATATTGTGGGTTTAATACCAATTCAGTAGCGGTGCGTGTAGCCCAAATAAGTAATTTCTGCCTTGCCACAGCAGTTTGCATTCTTTAATGGTAAAAGTAACCATGTCTGTGTGCATAAAAATATTTGAGTGAGTAAAGCCTGAATACTGCCTGTAGGTATAAAATCTTGGCTTTAGCTTTGTAGCTGTAATAGGTTAAGAACCTCGATGGAGAGAGTGATTTGGGGTGAAGGATAAGAGGGTGACCATCGGGAAGATGATTTTCTTTAAGCATCTGATTATAGCTCATTCTGAAGAAGCTGATTTTAAACTTTCTTGTAGCTTTGTACCCGTTTCTCTAGTTAGAAAATGCACTTGGTTTTGTACTTCTTTTCAGAACTTTGTTTTGTTGTAACCTTATAAGGATAGGATTTGGTTCCCTGATGGCAAATCTGTGCAGGGAAAAAAAGGGGATTTATTTTAGCAAGCTGTTTTAAAATACTCCAACAAGCCTGACAGGAGGCAGAAATAGTTATTTTATATTATTTCTCTCTGAAAATGTCACTAAGTGCAAGCCTTGTTCCTCTGAAAAACTTTTATCTCAGTAAAAGATGCCTCTAATTTCCATGAGTTAAAAACAAACAGGAAATGTTTTCACCGATGCATTTGGTTGGCGAAGGCAAATAATAGGTGCTTTTGCTGGATTTATTGCATGAACGGTATTACCCCTGCAAACAAACTGTGGCTGAGGTTCCGAGCGTGTCCTTCCTTCCTGAATGTCACCAATGAGGAAACAAAATCACAAAAGGCTGCCCCAGACACAGCTTATGTTTAAATAAAAAATCACTTTCTGTACTTGTGTTCAGCGTTGGTAAGTTAACAGTTCTCATTCCCGTGTTGCTGTGTGCAAGGGTGATGAGGAAGGACCTGCTGGCCATTATAGAGAGAAATGAACATCTTTGTTGGCAGCTCTAGCACGGTGCCTTCTGCTTGGGTACCTGGAAAGTTGTTTGTGTGCTACAGGGACAAACCCTGTGTTTCAGCTCACGGACATGTTTGGGTACCCTGTGTTAAGAAGGTTTCTTCTTCTGAAGCAGAAGTTAACCTTGTGCCAGGATAGCAGTGCCGAATGCAGGGTCAGTTTGTCCCTCATTATTGTCCTTGCAAAAATCAGTGTAATCGTGGAGCCTTAGGATTTTTAGACAAGAACATTTTAACGTTGTTAGTTACAATATTCGAGTTGTGCTTTTATTTCCTGCTGGTTTCTTGCCATCCTTCAGGAAACAGCACCGCGCATCTTCCCTTTTACAATAAAAGGATGTTTTCTGATGTATGTAAACTGGTATGCACAGCTGTATTAGCTATAGGTATTTGTGAACTTTATATGAAATCCATGCTTGAATGTATGTGAAAAATAAGCAGATTTGATTCAGACTGAATAAAACCTCTTCCCTCTCAGAGGAGACCATAGTCTATAGGGTTTATTTTTCTCAGCATTTGCTTCTTATTCTCCAGATGTAGTTGCATGTTGCTCCTTTTTCAATATTTGCCAGAATCTCCAGCAGTTCTTACTCTGTATCTCCTTCAGTCATGAGCCAGAAGGAAAAAGAAAGTCATCTCTGGAAAAGAAAACCCACAGGGCTTCATTCCCTTCCCACGCCCCATCATTTTCTCTCCACAATTTTGAAGATGTGAAGCAATTTAGATCAGCGTTCTCCATCGTTCCTTTTTCCTAACCTGATTCCTCTTCTTGCAGAGAGAAAGAAAAAGGAAGATGCAGAAGAGAAGTTGAAGAAGGAAGGAAAGAGGAAAAAATAGTGGAGAAAATCAGAACAGAGTTGACTTTTCTAAGAGGAATTATCCAGGAAGCAAAATGTGCAGCTTCCCTCTTCTTTTTCTTTTTTTTCCCTGTTTTTAGCCCATCCCAGATACTGCTATTTGGAGATAAGTGGGTCAAGCAAAAGGGCATAAATAATAGTGATTTCACAGTTGCTGTGGGTATGGGAGAGTGCAGCAGGAAGGGTGGATTCAAGGAAATGTTGGCAGGCTCTCAACGGGAAGCTCCTAGCTGAGCCACGGGTTGCTGTGCCCATCTTCTGCCACAAGACTTTGGGCTGTGCCAACCAGGTGGGAGCGGGATTAAAGTGGAAATAGAGCAGATGGTGAAGTGCAGCACATCTAGACTTACTGAATTTACTATGGGACAGTATGTATTTGTGGGAGCAGCTGGGGGAAGGGTGGATCAACCTGCTGAGCAGCATCATAGGGAAACAACCAGTAAAGTACCCTGATCAGGGACATTAGAAAATGGGGCATAATTTTTATATGTCAAAGATCCTGAGCTTATTAGCAAGGAATGTTTCTTCTGGCCCACATGTGCCTCCCATTTTTATTACCCTCAAGTGCTTCGTTTCCTCTGGCTGGTGGTCACATATCATCAACGAGGCATATGTGGGATACCCCTTCTTCTTACAAGGCCAACAATCTCTGCATTTCTGCTGAGGGCTGAAATCAAGTTTAACATCTGAAAATAAGGAGAAGGAGATAATACACCCAGGTGCAGTTTGAGGATGCTGCTGCAGAGGAACTGCTTCCCAAAAAGTGAGCTATAAACCCTATAGTGACATTGCTGTCATAGAGGATGAAAGCACACTCTACTTAGTTGTTTGCATCAGCTTTCTGCGAAGTTTAACTTGTATTTGCTTTTATTCTTCTTTTCCTGGTGGATCAAGGTTACTGTGAACAACTGTACTGCATTGTGGTTAGGGGATAGTGCTCTGGCTTTTGATGCTCCTGAAGCCCCATCAGTTCATTCTGAGACCTGGCACCCTATCTTCTAAGCAAGTGGAGCCTCCTGGCTTCCAACGGACTCTGTGCTTGGATTACGTACCCCCAGCATCACCTGCTTGTGTTGCCACCAGTGCCTTTTTGGTTCTTTTTCAGCTCGAGAACATACTGCAAGAAAAGCTTTTATCTTGTTGGAAACGCCTGAACAGGAGCTTTTTACATCCTTATGACTCATTCAACTCAACCTTGGAAATCTGGAGCAGCATGTCCTGGTTGCTGCAGTAGAGGCTCATAGAGATTTACTTCATCCAGCTGGGACCTTTCAGGGCTGTGTGGAGACCACTGAACCGCGTCCCTTGCTGGAGATGGGTTGTTTGCGGGTGTGGGTGATGTCCTTGCAGAAGAAGGGCAGTGTATGGGGTGGCCTTTCCCTGATATGGAGGAGGAGCATGGCACCTTGGGAAGATGATTTTTCCTTGCCTCCAGGAACATAATACATTCATGCGTTTAGATCTGTAAATCTGCTTGCGGGTACTAACATATTGCAGAGTAGCTGGCTGCATAAATCTCTTGCTGTTGAATGCAGAGGATCAGGTAGAAGAGTCTGAGGGCTTGGGTTGTTTTCTTGCGATCAAGTCTGTTTTCCAGATTTTAGGACATTCTTCATCCTGCTGATTCTCCATATGGGTCTAACAGTGTTATTGCACCTTTGTCCTTCTCATGGAAAATAAAAAGATGATTCTGTGGCTTTACTCGTGATATATTATGATTAAGTAACTTGAGATCTTTCCTCTCATAATTTGAAATACTTTGGGATTATTGTTTACCCCCAACTTCTGGAAGGATTTTGAAGGAAAAAACCTCATTTCTTTAAAGGCAGCAGCTCAGTCATCAGCAGGTCTGTTCTGAGAACAAGAGTGTGCATGCCCATACAGGGGCACGTTTGATTGTCTGATAGGCACAAAAGACCTTCTTGCTTAATACTGGAGACCTATATATTCCATTCTTTGAAAAACAACATCTGAAAACGGCTTTATTATCAAAGACAAACTTTGGAACATTTTGATTTTTCTAAATTATGGTATGAGGACAAAGGAGATGAATTGGAGCTTTGCAGTTTCTCCCTGCTTTATACAAAACATTTGTGCATCTGCATTTTTTTCCCATATGTTGAAAGTGCCATATGGAGAGGTCACTCTGCGTTTCAGCTTGCAGATGAAATAGGCTGGGAGTAGGAAATCACTCTAAAGCAAATGGTTTTTCAGCAAAAAAAACCATCCCAGAAGTGCATTTGTCACTTGGTGGACATTTATGCTGTTGACTAATAATAATGAGTTGTGGTATTGTAACAAAGAGACATTGGTGTGGGACTTTTTGTGAAGGGGAAAAAAGATTACATACTTTGGAATAATGCTGTCTATAAAAGCCAGAAAGCTTGAAGGCAAATAGAGCAAGCTGCTAAACGGTGCAGTGTATTTTTAGTAGACAGAAAATGTTGGTGAGCAACTGTAATTACATCTTTTCCATGCAGTGGGGAAAAAAGGCCTGAGTCGTGCCTGCGTTGATAAGGCCAGTTAAATTTCAGGGGTTTAAAGAGAGAGAAATGAAAAGAGTAAGGGAAGAAACCAGCCAAGGAACCGTATTTGGCTTGGTGGAGGAACCTGGTTGGAATAAAGGCCATTGGGAAAACATAAGGTAGATGACTTCAAGGTCATAAGAATGAATTGTGTTCCTCATCAGTTTTATTCCTTTACTTTGCAAAGTAAAAGTTGCACAACTTGCATGTAGCCAAAAATTTCCAGGAAGAGCAGGAAACAGATTTCTGATGATGCTCTGCTGTGGCCTGATGGCATTATCTGCTGAGAGGAATAATTGGAGACTGCTGAAGTCTCAGGGGAAGGACGGAGAGCGAAGTGATGGTTCTGCTGTAGTCCTATTGAATGCACATTCTGTACCTCTGCAGAAATCACTATTAGTTTCATCTTGAGGAGTTTGAGCTGTCAGCATAAAGGTGGTGGAGTTTGCTCACATCAAGGAACAGGATGGGCAGAGAAAAAGCAGGATGTCAATATCTGAACCTCAGTGGGTGTTGGAGGAGAAGGAGTCGTTTCTGGAAAGGGAGGGATATCAGAAATAAAATAGAAATAGGAAGGGTTAGCCTTGGGAAAGTCAAGGCTGAAAGAAACCAGAAGAGGTTAATGATGTGAAAGGGCACAAGAAATTGGAAGAGGAGGCGGCTGTGGCAGATGTTTTGGATGAGGAGTTCTGCACTAATCACCATTTGCCAAGAAAAGGTGGCAGAAGCTGGAATATAGGGCTGGGAATCAAAGTCTGTTCTTCCTTAAAAAGATTTCTCCTGGTTATTTCCTCCCCCCCAACTTGTGCAGGCTGAAAATAGACCTTTATGTAACAATAAAAGAGATGAAGTTTATTTCTTCAAAGAGATGTTTAATGCTAACACGTCGGGACACTGTTTTCATTTTGTTTCTGTTCCTTTCCTCCAACCAAGAGAAGGCACATGAAATTTATCGTTAAATCAGAGTGACAAAAAGGTTTTCTCAGCAATTCCACGCTGTATTATATCTCTTGCACTCCAGTCGTCACAATATGTTGTTCACATTATGAGCCCATGCTTCTGGAAACCGTGTCACTTCCTTTTTATCACAGGATTTTCAAATTGAGTATATCTGCTCCATGTGATTTCAAAGTGGAGAAAGAGACTTCTTAGGGCATGTTCTAGCCTTTCTATTTCAGTAACAAAGATCTGCAACTTAGTGGTAGAAGGCAAATGACTCATTTTGTCAGGAAAATGCCACTTTTCTATGTGGTTGTCAGGGCACGTCTAAAGCAAATATATAAAGATTAAAAGCAATCGTCTTATGTAAATGTTCAGCAGACTATGGGAAGCAGATACTGGATCAACAGTCAAGAAACTTTGGATGGGTTGCAATAAATATCTTGTCCCATATCTTTACGAAGTGGTGTGGGCTTGTAAATTGTGGGGCTGGTTGTGAGGAAAGCTCTGAATGTCAGTGATTTTGATGGGGATTTGGGTACCAATAAATGAAGTTTTGTCTGGGCTTCCATGGCTTAAAGAAGCATTGTGCAACCGCAGTGTAACTTTCTTCAAGCAAACCAGGTTGCAGTGAGAGGGAATATCGCCTTTGCTATGAGGGTGGTGGGGCACTGGCATAGGGAGTCCAGAGAAGCTGTGGCTGCCCCATCCCTGGCAGTGTTCAAGGCCAGGTTGAATGGGGCTTGGAGCAACCTACACTAGTAGAAGGTGTCCCTGCCCGTGGCAGGGGGCTGGAACTGGGTGAGCTTTAATGTCCCTTCCACTCAAACCATTCTGAGATTCTATCATTTGAATCCTAGTGATTTGAGGAGCTGTGGAAATGCCTTGGAAAGTCACTGCAGTTTATCAGCAATGTTATTGTGGTGGATAAAATATGGGGGTTGCTTTATGCTTCCCTCATGAGTCAGGAAAACCCCTGCAAGAGGCAGGGGAATAGCAACTGCATTTTAAATCTTAACCATTGTTCCCTTTTAATTTGGTTCTGCGCCTTTCTAATTAAAAATGAGGTCTATATAAATCTGTATTATATAAACATTTTATATATGTAAATTAGGTGAAGATAACAAATGCTCTTGGAATTGTACATTCTTCATGCCAAGATGTGTTCATTGATAAGCTGTAGATAAATAATTTTTGCAAAGATGTATTAGAAATATTTTCATGAACCTTTTCACCCCAGTTTTGGTGCTTTTCCAGAAAGGCGTCATTGCTTCTTTCATTCATCATTTAGTGTGATTATCTGTTGTTGTCAACAAGGGTTCTGACAGAAGGTTGTCCTGCTGTGAAAGGCTTTTTAGCTGGTGGTGGTAGGAGTTTCCTGCTGCTGGTCCTTCAGGCTGCAAGAGGGGACCAAGGCACTGAACTCCCACCCGCTTACAGTAGAAAGAACCTGATGGGAGCCTTTGAATGGAGGTCATTGAGCACTTTCTTGGATGTAGGTCCACTCTTTGGAAATAACTGTTTATATGTGGAAACGGCAGTTGTCTTCCTTCCCGCTTGGTCCAGTGTTAACCCTTCGCACTCATCCAGCAGCTTCAGCATGGCTGGTCCACCAGGCCCTTAGAAATTTTGATATTCATTTTTGCAGACCATATAAGAGAAAAGAAAAACCAGTACAGGTTCTCCATGGTACAGTTCTGCCTTTCTTTAACACCAGAAATGCACAGCTCAAGACAAGTACTGTTAAGTCAATACACTTTTTCTTCGGCTAGCTTTGTCACAGCACTGGTTTAGGTTTTGGGGGTGAGGATGCCAAGCCCTGTAGAGGAATGCAGCATTTTTTGCCCAGCTCCCCATTTAATTTATTAGGTCTTCTTGCAAATCTGTGTTTGTCTGATCCAGCTGGATAGTGCGATGCTTTATCAGCAGTTTGCTACCTTTTTCCTCCTGTCTAACCCCAGCACTTCCTGGATGCCTCAAGGAAGTTTCATCCAACTGGTAAAACCTCCCATGCTAAAGAGACATTGATCTATGCTGATTTATTTACACACTGTAAATGGATTCACGTGTCTTGACTGTTTTGGTCATTAACTGTTAATAAACCTTGACCACAGCTTGGATTTGGCCTTGTAGCTGCTTGTGTTGCAGCATCTATCACCGGTGGTACTACAGGTTCATGGCATTCCCTGGACTTCTTGACCAGTATGGTCATTTCCCAAATCATCAGAAATGAGCAGTGTACAGATTGCGTTTCGGAGCCCTGTTTTGAGAAGGAGGTTGGGTTGAACCAGATATCTCCTGCATTCTTTTCCAGCTGAAGTTGTTATACACATTTCATCCTAAAAATACCTGATTTCTATTAATCTCTTAGACGTTCTATATGTTTTGCGCAGTGGGTTAGTTTCTAGAGGACATATAACTTGGGTGACTTTACTTGATAGTAGGTGTGATTTTTGGAGCAGTAATGCCTAGGAAGGGTAGGAAGAAAGCTGTTTTGAGTTGTTACCTTATTTTTGAGTATGCCTGATTCCAGGGAGGTAGAGAAATCCACATCTGTATTTGTCCTTTTCACGAGGGAAATGGAAAATCTGTTTTTATGGTAAATTTTAAAGGAAGGTATTTAGAGGCAAAGAAAAAAAGATTAATCCAAGAAATTGCAGATCCTGTTACTTTTGTTGGGTGTTTTAAGCTTGACCTAGTTTTGAATATCTTTGCAGCTTGAAGTAAAAAAAAAAGGGGGGGGGGGAAATGAAAAAGAGAGGAAAAAACCTCCTATTAAGAATTTAATTCTGGAGACATTCCAGCATGGACTACTATTTCACATACATATTTAATATTCTTAATTCATATTGAGGGTAAAAAGAGCACTGTTCTAATGTTACATATGACTTAGATTAAATATGCTGCTTCAACTGAGCTCTCTAAAGGACACGGAAGTGTTTATAAGTTTATTTTTATGCTCAGTTGTTACTAAAGCTAGTTAAGGGGGTTGAAAAATGTCTCATTTGCAACTGTTTTTCTTCCTATTGCCAAATATTGTCATTCCCTCTTCTCCTCCCCTTGCCTCCAGGTTTTGAAAGGCACCAAAATTAACATGCCTGTCCCTATTAATTATGTTTCCTATTTACACGGTGCGATACAATGACAAAACGAGTTTCCTCATGTGAATATTATTGTGTCTTTCTTTTCCTCCACCAGGTCTGAACCCATTTTAGTGTTTTGATTTAT